CCCGGCCCGCTTCGGTCGGCCCTGCGGCGCAGCTTCGGGCGCCGCACGACCCCCCAGCCGAGCCTGCCGTGCCCGGATAGGCCCGGCCCCTGCACGTGCCGACCCTGCTAGCGGCCCCCCACGGCTCGGGAGGGGAGTGGTGGCTGCTGCCACTGCTCACCTAACACCACGTTTTCAGACCCCAGGGGGGCCTGGCAGGATGCACGGGCTGGCTGTGTAGACTGGGGACCTGGCTCCCTTTTCCCAGGGTGTCCTAGAAGGCTGATTCACTTCCACCCTACACTCTCACACTCACTTACACACATGCTCTTCTACTCTCCTGGTCTGGGACCAGAGAAGACCTTTTTTTCATGTGACTCACAAGTACTGTAAAGGAAGCTGGGCAGAGATGCACCTACATGCTAACTGAATTATTTGTATTATACAAGTCTCAAGTAAAAAATGAGGTCTACTCCCATAATAGGCAGGCCAAGCAAAGTAACACTGAGCTTGTCCTTACTATTTTCCTTTGGTATCAGTTTCTACTTGTTTTAACGGCAGAGCAAAAAGCAAGAAACATTGTATGTGGTTCCCAGCCTCAGTCTGCAAGATAGATATTTTGGGTGCTCAAACTTCCCTTTCTGTCTGCTGACTCTTCTATGCAATATTGAATCATAAACTTAGTAGTTGTGATTGTAGGGCTGAGCGCTCTACAAACGTGGATGTAGAGATGATTATATAAAGAGATGATTGTATAATTATAAACAAAGCATTTTCCTTTCTGATGCTGCCAATCCTGGATGGCAGTAGGCAGTAATAGTGCTGTAACTGGGGGGGAAGGCCTAGAAGTAACTAAACTAAAATCAAGAAAGGTAAGGTGACACTTATCTTTTGGAGAAACTGGAATTCAATACAAGACCTGTCAACATTCTCTCTTCTTTGTGCCATGTGCTTTCCTGGGCATTATTTTTTAACATGCACAGGAGATGTTTCAGACATCTTGCTAATACATTTTTAATCCTGCATGACAGCATAAAAGTCAGGATTATTGTTTTTCAGACTCTTCTGCTTTTTCTTCTTCATTCAGGATATATTTATAAGCTAAGTGAAACACAATCTAGCTGAAGAATAATTTTTTAACATCAGAACCATCTTTTATCCTATCTACACCTTTTTGTATCAAGAATTATATCTGTACCAAGCAAGGTGGAACATGTGGACGTTTAAAACCAAAATAATCTTTCAAATGAATTGGACTTTGGGCTGCGAAATTGTCAGTATTGAAGGCAATGCTTCCTTAGGCGCTGATCAGACACAGCATGTGCAAAGAGAGAGTTTGAATTTTTTTAAATACAACAATTCCTAGTAGTTAATATTGTAGTTCTGTTTTAAAACTTTCCTAATGGGCAAAAGGGAAATAACGTGTATTTATGGCCCTGAGGATACCTTCAACTTTGTATCCTGTTTTGTTTTTCTCTTTGTATCTTTCCCTTTCCCACATGCATGGCATGCATTAATGTTACATTGTAATGACTTTCTTTCCACCTTCAGGAAGGTTTAGTGAGCTTTCATTTATACTACCTTTCTTTTTGCCTGGAACTCGATGCTTTCTTCGTGCAGTGTTCTGTTCCTTGCTGGTGGTAGGAACAGTAGTCTGAAGTGGAGTTTTGTCTTTTAGTGCAGCACCAGCCAGTGGAGCTGTAGTGTTGGTGGTTTTTGGTTGACTTTTTTTTCTCAAGAAGGAAGAAATTATGTGAGTGTGATTAGTTTTTCAAACTGCTCTCTTTCTACCTCCATAGTAGGCTGTAAGTGCTGGTTTATTCTCTCAGCTGCTGCTAAAAGAAATTTTGAACTCTTTGGTAGATGTTCATGACTGTGACCAAAATATATAATTACATTTCAGGAATGGTCGAAGTTCTTAAATCTTTTGATTTTTTTTTTTTTGTTTTTTTCTTCCAATGAAATGTTACTGAAAAGTCACCAGTGTTTAAAAGTCTAATGCAAGCTGAAATAATGATTATAAGGTTCAGTCTTGATATTTTTTTAAACTTTTTTGTTTAATAACAGCTAAAACTTTTTGGTATTTTTTTTTTTTTTACAGGTGGGATTGCAAAAAGCTTTGCTAGTTCTACTGTGGGGTTATCGTTCCCATCAAAAAATGGAATTTAGGACTCAGCTGTCACATCCTGAGTAAGAAAATCCTGTCTTCCAAAAATGGAGAAAAAGCGTAGAAAGAAATGAGCCTGTTCACTAGGCTTGACATCAGAAGACCATGAAATCTAGATTTTTGCTTATCTTGGACACAACATTAAGAATATCCAGTTCAATAGCATTAGCACACTTCATAGGTACTTTGCACAGCAAAGGCAGCGTTGCAACAAAAATGAACTAATTTTTAAAGAAGACAAGTGTGACTTGAATATATGGAGTTTTTGGGATGAAACTGTATTCTTTTAGGACCATGAAGTTTGCAAACATCTGGTTGGTCCTGATTGTGATTTTGCTCTGTGGCAAGAAACAGCTGGGCACCAGAGTAGGAAATTCTTCCCAGGAGGCCCATCCTTGTTCTGGATGCTCTCATCTTACTTTGAAAGTGGAATTCTCTTCAACAGTAGTAGAACATGGTAATGAGAATCTAGGTTTTAAAGTGTTTAATACCTAGGTATTAATACAATGGTGGTGTGTACATTATTTGTATTGGTTATAATGCTGTAAATTTCCAGGTGGCATGGGATCCTTTTGTGATAAGTTCTTTGCAGTCATGGAGCAGAGCCTGGTCCCATCCTCAGAGGCATCTAGCTAACTTAAGGAAAGATGTGAACAAGTGTGCCATAGTAGCTGGAAGGGGAGGGAGCAGAGAAGATGGCGCGGTCAGAAGGCGTGGATGGTAAAAAATAATAACCGTAATAATGATGCACTGCTTATGTAGGCTACAGAAGCGCACTGTATAATGATTTTAAATATTTGGCAGGGGGAATATGGAATTAGAGGAGTATTGTGTTTCACGTCGTTTGTTGACGTATATTCAAATCAGAGATGAATCTTGAAGACACTTGAAAGAGGAGAAGCCCAATGGACTAGCTCAGGAAGGATGCTTATAAATAGGAAATGCAGAAAGGTACTTGGGAGAGAAGCAGACAGATGACAAGGCTAATGTGATTGTCAGAACAAAAAGGGTTGAGGGGGTTAGCAAGCCAGAACAAATAAAATTCTTCACAACTCAGTTCACTCATTTATAGGTCCTATAAAAAGCTTGGATTGGTTAAAGTGGAGAAGAGAGCTATTCAAACGGAATAAAATATTATGAGAAATGGCTAAGCAGCATTGACATTCATATTTGGTGTACTCTATTTTTCAAAAATCATAGAATTTCTTATAGAAGAATATTTACCATCTAATTTGATCTTGTATAAACAATCTTTACCTCAAAGAATTTGCTGTCCCATCTCCTAGATGAGCTGGAACTAGGAGAGACAACAAAGAAGCATGGAGGGAGAGTATAAATAAAATAATGCAGTTACATAGATACATACATACTATCTGAAACTTGATGGTTCTTGACGTCATCCTTGAGTGTTTAAGTAACATCTTTACACTGTAACTGAGTAGTCATATCTATTTTATAATACAGTGAAAGATGAGTAAAAGGAATGAACTATGTGAAATTAATATATTAACCTTTTGGCAAGGTAGGTATATTGTTCAAGGCTTAGGGCTTTGATTCAACATCATTTTAAGCATGGGCATAATCTGTAAATAACCTCATTAAAATAGGTGTTCATGTTACCATCAGTTTAAGCCCTGTTTCTGCAACTAACTATAGTGGAAGTTGTGGGTATGCTTGTAAAGTTCAGACCAATACCTGTGAAGTTGGAACTAATTCTGTGTGGGCAGACTCTCACTAATTTCAGTGAGGTTGCACACAGGGGTTGAGGTTTGCCTGTCATTCTCAGAACTGGGGCCTGACATGTAACTTCCTGGGGTCTGACTTTCAATTTATAGTGCTAACATAATAGCATAACATAGTATAACATAATTCTAGTTCTAAGTGAAAACAGCACATATCAATTGGATAACAAATTCTTTTCTTATAAAACTGAGTACTAAATTAGCATTTAATTTTTTTTCTGGGAGATGTGGAGGGAATTACGTTAGTTTTTGTATCATTTTGTTTACCAATTCAACTGTTAACACTCATTCTCTTTCCGGAGGTGGCGTCAGGTTTTCATAATTCAGAACCATGCCAGTTTTTTTTTTTCTTAAATGTTTAGTTTATAAACTGCAGAAAGTCATGTAAAACAAACTGTTCACAAAAGTATGTTATATTTAAATACATTGCCTCAGGATTGGAAAAAACAATGTGCACCTACCCTGTGTCTACGCTCTTTTGAACACATTAACTATAGGAAAAACCTGCTTTAAACTTTTTCCTTCTTGTTAAGGTTTGTTACTTTGCTTGTCAGACCCTTGGCATTGACGAGACTTAGTTCAAAGTTTCCTTTCAGCTTTGAAGTTGATAGTTTCAGTTACACAGAATGACTGTGTACTTTCACCCAAAGTACACAATAGGGCCAAGAGTTCCTGTGAACTTCAGTGGTATATGGTATTAACCAATGTGCAAGTAACTGGTGTTTGCTCCAAAAGAGAACAAACTAGGGCTGGCATTGTTATAAAGTTAAATGAATTATTAATTCATCTGATATGCCTGTAAATAGGGTAATACCATGTTTTATTTCTTTTACAGTTTCTCAATAAATCTAACTCCAGTTGAGAGTAGTCAGGCAGTCAAGAGCTCTTTCTTATTTTTCCATTATAATGAATATCCTTATCCCCTGCTTCCAAAATCTAAACTTATATATAGAGATCCAAGTTACATTAATAATACACAAATTGAATCTGAATATTTTCATTTAGGAGGTATAAGGGATTCCTTTAATTTGTGGTGGTTGTTTTGACAGCGAGTAGAAATATTTCATCATCTGGAGCTATGTAGAAGTATCCTTTGTAATGTACAGTTCAAATGTCAGTTCTAACATGGTGTTCTCCTTGCAGAATACATTGTGGCTTTCAATGGATACTTTACAGCTAAAGCTAGAAGTAAATTTATTTCAAGTGCATTGAGGAACAGTGATATAGAGAACTGGAGGATTGTACCTCGCAACAACCCAGCCAGTGACTATCCTAGTGATTTTGAGGTGATCCAGATCAATGAGAAACAGAGAGATGGAGTGCTGACACTGGAAGATCATCCAAACATCAAACGGGTAACACCCCAGAGGAAAGTCTTTCGCTCTCTCAAGTATTTGGAGTGTAAGTATATTCCTTCTTGGCTTCTAAACTGTTTTCACTACATTCACTGTAAAAAAAAAAAAAAAAAAAAAAGTCTGTAGGATTTATTCAAGCCTCCCAAAATTAGTATGCTGTAAATGCTCAAATGAGAAAGCATTGATAAAGACTCATCCCTTTAACTGTGAAACTGTCTAGTTCTTACTTTATTAAACTGCTAGTGATTACAGCTATGACTTAAAAGTTGTATTTTCTGTAGTGATCAGGGGCTCTAGACTACTGGTCAGTTAGGGGTGTGTGAAATGGGCTATGTTCCATTCAGATTCAGCCCACCCCAATTTCATCTCCCAGTGTGAGCCTCCCAGTGCTAGAGGAGGAGCTGGATCTGGAACCAGCTAAAGAAATTCTGGGGACTGAGGGGGAAACTGACTTTGTGCTCCACAGTTCTCAAAGTTCCCCTAGAGCCAGGTCTTCTTCTCAGGAGGTTGTGATGACAGGTGGCTCAACTTTCCCTGTTGTTGTGCCTCTGCCTGCTGAAGAGGGGGATAAGGTAGGATCCCCACCCTGAACCCAGAAGTGGGGGAGTAGTGTAGCTTGGGATTATTTTGAGGTGGCAGATGATCCCAAGTATGCTATCTGCCAGCACTGCCGAAAGCATATCAGTCAGGGCAAGGAGGTGAAACACTTCACCACCATGGTGATGCTGCTGCATCTCAGGAGGCAGCAGCCCCTTGCCCTTGTTCCTGCTCAGCCTGGTATCAGTGGGAGCATGCCCAAAGGGAAGTCCCCCTCTCACTGTAAAGCCCCTGTCCCCACGAAGCAGAGGCAGGCCGCCTTGGAGCGGTGGGGGAAAGGTGCAGACAAAAGGGGGCACATTATAAAGGTGAGTGAGGTCACCCATAGCATTGGGGAGATGCTTGCTCTGGATGGCCAGCCCTTCTTAGTTGAGCGGCCAAGGTTCAGACAGCTCATGGCACTCATGGTCCCATCCTACCAAGTGCTCTCACGTGCCACCTTTAGGAGGGCAGTGGTGCTCTTCCTGTATGAGGCATGCAGGGAGTACTTGAGGGAGCAGCTGCACAAGGCAGGGCTGGAGGTAGCCTTGCACTTTACCTCTGACATCTGGAGCAGCTGGGGTGGAGATCATGCCTGCTTCTCCCTCACAGGGCACTGGTCAGACCGTCGGTGGGCTCTACTTCAGGCTGAGGTGATGGATGAGTCCCACACAGCAAGGGAGATCATGGTGGCCATGAACCACATGGTGCAGGGGTGGCTTGTTGGGCAGGGCGAGCTCATCATCACCGACAGTGGGGCCAGTATGGTCAAGGCAGTCCATGATGCCAACTTTGTTGGCATCCACTGTGTGGCACGCAAACTGCACCTCATAGTCAGAGATGCCTTGGAGGACAGGGCTGCCAGCGATTGTGCCATCACTACCACCCACCTGATTTCAAAATGCAGGAAGGTGGCAGGCTACTTCCACCACAGCATCAAGAGGGGCAAGATGCTGCGGGAGAAACAGGCAATAGGCCTGTACAAAGTAGCTAGCATTCGCTTTGGATTCAGGGGATAGTGATTCGATTCGGTGATTCGAATCGCTGTCCCAAATCAATTCAGCTGAGTCTGATTCAGAATCAAACAGGCCCCAGGCCCGAGCCCGCTCTCCCAGTCCTGTCATTGGCTGCCCTGCCTGGCCCCACCCTCCCGGCTCTTTAGAAGAAAAAAGCCCTGTACTTGCCAGTTGCTGCAATGTGGGGGGCACGGTGGCAATCCTTGCTGCCCCCCATTGCCAAAAAAAACCCAACAGAAAGTCAGGAGCTGGGGCCAGGTGGGGCAGCCTTGGGGGGCGGTGGGGGGGCACTCAGTTGGGCTGGGGGAGCAGGCAGGGGTCCCCCCATGGTCCTCTCCCTCCTCCTCCAGCTCCTTGCCCCCTCTTACCAGCACAGATTCTGGATCTAGCTCCCTGCGATGGCAAGTGGGGGCTACCCAAATCTCTGAAGCTCTCCAAATGTTTTCCGAATCGGTTTGGAGAGCTGTGAATCGATTTGAACCTTTTTATTTGTCTCCTGATTTGATTATGAGTTGGAGATTTCGCTGCCAAATCGAGCCAAATTTCCTCCTTATCGAATCAGCTCCTGAAGCTTCGCGAAGTCCTAACAGACAGAGCTGAGCATCCTGGAGCAGAAAATCATGCAAGATATGGAGACTGGTTGGAATGCCACATACCTAATGCTGGAAAGGCTGGTGGATCAAGAGAAGGCCATCCATGAGATGGCCTTGCTCGGAGAGATTGGGATCAGCGGTCCGCTTAACAGAGATGAGCGGGATACCATCTCCCAGATCTTGGTGGTCCTCAAGCTCTTCCTCAAGGCCACTGAGACCCTCAGCACTGGCAGTGCCCTCCTTAGCCAGGTGATCCCCATAGTGAGGGAACTTGAGAACCAGATGGAGAAGTTCCAGGGAATCAATGTTCTTCTGAAGCAGATTCATTCGAACCGATTCGAGACAGTGATCCAGATCTCTGAATTGAATCACTGTCGTCTGAATCAGCCGAATCTGAATTGAATACTTCCCTATTTGCACAGGCCTACTGGCCATTAAATCACCAGGAGATTAAATCTAAACTTTACCTGTCTTTAGTGGAATTAGAATTTTATCACTGACTGATTTTCAGGTAATAAAAACTTTCCCATCTGAAATGCTGATCTGTGATAAGGCTGTAGTGCGAGGTGTAAGGGTTTGTTAGGGTGATATCTTTACTGGACCAACTAAATGGCTGGGATAAACTTAGATAGGCTTTCAAATGTAAAACATTGCTTTTGAAATGTGCACCTCAGAATGTAAGGCATTTAAAAGGTTGTCTAACTGTATCCCTCTCATATAATTTTTGGACCATCATAACTGAAGCATCACCCTTACACTACCATAGAGCTATAGTATAATAATAGTATATAAAATGCACATATTTTGTATTATCCTCTTACATATTTTTCTCCATCTTAATAACCATATATAGCTGATCGTACATTGAACTGCAATGAAACCAGATGGACCCAAAAATGGCAGTCATCTCGTCCCCTGAGAAGAGCAAGTCTCTCCCTAGGTTCTGGATTTTGGCATGCAACTGGCAGACATTCAAGCAGGCGTCTACTGAGAGCTATACCACGGCAAGTTGCACAGACGCTTCAGGCAGATGTGCTCTGGCAAATGGGTTATACAGGTATGCTGTTGCACGTTGGCTTGTCATAACAAATAAGCTAAGTGCCTCTGAGATGCAGGAAAAGTGAATACTGCTTTAATAAGCATGAGCTAACTCATGTGCATGTATTCAGTTGATACTGATCATCTGCATATTCTGTAGAGGTTGAGAAGTACCTATTTTTGCAAAGCATTGACTTAACAAAGTTTACTCAATGTAAAGGTTTGCCTGTTGTTTGAATTTGTGTAGGCTAACCTGGAGACAGTTTTCATGTAATCCAAAAATAAAATAATGCTTTATTGCGTGAGAGATCACCAAGCCCCAGAGCCAACATTCATACAACTCTTGAAAACCTCCAGGTTTTTTCTGTGTTAATCTCCTTTCTTCTCTCTTTCCACAGCCTTATTTCTCTTCTCTTTCCATTCCTGCTGTCCTGTCACAACAGAGTACTAAACTATCAGTCTGTAAAAAATGAATGCAGTACTGGGGATACAGTTGAGAACAGGGTGTTCAATGTTAGAGATGGAGCACATATCCATAAATGGTAGGGGGAATGGGAACAATCAGTCCTCTGAGCAGGACTCTGTGGGAGGCCTAGGAAATAACAGGCCTCTGTAGGCAAACTGCTTTGCACTTAGCATATAAACAGCCATAAACCAAACACTAAATTGCTCCCTATTAAATATCCACCCCTAATTCCAGTCTCATACTTATTCATGTAAAAATAACATAAAGGTTTGCTCTATAGCCATAGTCAAAATTTTAATTATGCACTATAATTTAGTTTTACTCAGATTTAAGGTTGTGCTCTGGATGGAGAAATTTTGTACCTCTTCCATGGATAGTTACATATTGGAAATCAGAGGAGCATTATGCAGGTGATAACATTTACTGCATACCTGGGACAAAATGAAGGTTGCACAAATAATTATTTTTGTCTTATCTTGACCTTTTACGTGATTCACTTCTTTAAACTTTATATTATTTTGTAATCATTTTTAAAAGAAACAAATATAGGGTTGATATTGGAAAAACCCAAATACATTAGTGCAACTTTCAAATATACCTTTAATACAAGTAAGAGTAAAACGAGAGATCGCATTGTTGGCCTCTTTATCCTCAAGTAAATTATAGCTCATTTTAGTTTGGGAAAACACAAAATTATAGGCCACATGGTGCTTTAAGCAGACTGGTCTCCTTTTACATACAAGTATAAAGTCATATGAAGATATAGTTAAGAACATATAGTTGCATACTACTAAGACAAAAATATTTCTATGTTAATCCTTTTCTTTGGCAATAGGTGCTGGTGTAAGAGTAGCTGTCTTTGACACTGGACTCACTGAAAGACATCCACATTTCAAAAATGTAAAGGAAAGAACAAACTGGACAAATGAGAGAACCTTGGATGATGGTAGGTCTAGCCTGTAGCATTCTTAAAAGTAGGACTGGTACGTATGATTTAACACACTAACTTAGATTATGAAGCTATAATTGTTTTTTAAATGTTACAGCAATGTTTTCTTCATGTATAATAAGGTCTAATTATACATGGAACAGAATGTGGCGAAGTCTTACCGATGTAAGTGGTACTTTCTGATTGATATGGTATAAAGACTCAATAGTTCAGAAGATCGTGTGTTAAGTTTCCTTAAGTCTGTCATATGTAACTCCAGAAGTTATAAACAGAGCTTAAATGTGGACTTCGGAACATATGTCCTTTTTCCAGTATGATGTAGTTTTCCCAGTTTTTAACCTTCTGTTTGAAATGTTACTTATTGAAAAATAAAGGAAAAGGGACAGTCTAGCAGAAAACATCTTTTGTCCAAGAGAGATTCTATTTCTTCTCTATCTGCCCATTATTAGAAATCTGGCATCATGGAAGTAAGCAGCAAACCTCAGTGGGACTGGAGTTTCACTATATTTTCAGTTATAGACATTTTTGTGGTTAAGAATCTTTTGGACTGTCGTATCTGTGGTTTTTAAAAATAAACGTAGGCCTCTGAGAATGAAAGATGAAAGCATTTGCACATGAATTCTGTTTTATTAGGAATAAATTGATGAAGTCATTTGGCCTCCAGCACCTGCTTTTATTGACTTTATATTACTGTTTACATGGCACAGGCCTTGGACATGGGACTTTTGTAGCTGGTGTGATAGCAAGCATGCGGGAATGCCAGGGATTTGCCCCTAATGCTGAGCTGCACATTTTTAGAGTCTTCACAAATAATCAGGTAAACAGCGTAAATATTTTATTTTCATTCAAGCCTTTTTGCCTTACAAATCTTGCATATTCCTATGGGCTTTGAACTAATTCATTTTATGGAGAGAAGTTATTCAGTCTAGAGGTGCACCGATACATTGGTCTGTTATCGGATCAGCACCGATATAAAGAAAATTGACTGTATTGGAAATCAGCCTGATGTGGCTGATAATTTGGCTGATGAATGCCCGTGCATGCACGCAGCTGCAGTGCAGCACGTAGGCAGTGAGAAAAACAGCCCATGTAGCTGGTAAGTTTGTTGTGGTGGAATGGGTGGGAGGGTGCAGATCAAGGCCCTGCAGTGAGGGAGAGAGTAAGGCAGGGGCTGGGGTAGGTGCTGCCCAGCTGGGCTGGGCCAGGGCACAGAACAGCCGTGGCTCATCCAGGGGGTGGTTCCCACCACTGCACGCACCTGTGGGGTGGGGGGAGAAGGGGTGGGCATGTGCCCTGTAACAGGGGGCCTGCTCAGGGCTGTTCTCAGAGTGGCCTGCCCACCTATTCCTGGGCTAACCGCCTGTGTTCTCACCTGCCATGCCTTGATGTCAATAATTAATTAATGTTAATTAGCGGAGGCTGCCCCTTTACTGCCCCGATGCCAGGGGGCACTATCTGCAGCTCCATTCCTCCCCTACACCTCAGCCCAAGCCTTGCCGATGGCATCTAGGTGTTCTCGTCATCGCTGGCCCCACATTGGGCCCCAGAATCCTTCTTTCAGGACCCCTGCATTCAGGCGGCCTACCCTGTCTTCATTCAGCCTATCCCTGAAACTATTTTCCCCTCTTGGGTGTGGTCTTCCCGGCACCTTTGGCTACCAGCCCTGGCCCACCTGCAGGCCAGTTGGAACCCCAGGCCCTTGGCTCTTGCGTGTCCCTTGCAGTGGGTCCCTGGCCCTTTTGACCATCCTGGTCTTGGCCCCAGCATGGGCCAGTCGAAGGTACTCTCTCAATCAGGTCCGAGTCTCTAGCCCCTGTCTCTCGGGGTCTTCTCTCCAAGCCCTACAAACAAAGGGGTTACCCACCGTTGTGGGGGCTAGGGGTTACGGTGCCCCAACCCACCTTTCACTGGGGTGTCCCAAGTGCATCCCAGCTCAGCCCCCACCAAGAAGAGTCCAGCCCTGGCTGCCCCAGCCCACAGCTTCACTCTGCCCTGCCCTGTGCAGATCTGGGGGCGCCTACCCCCCCTTACTTCCCCCCCATGCCTCCTGGGGTGTGCGCAGCAGCAGGAACCGCCCCCCCAATGCCTCCCAGACGAGCCGTGGCTCAGTTCTGTGCCTGCTCCAGCCCCACTCCCTCCTCACCACAGGAGCCTTGATCTGCCTCTCCCCACGCATCTTCCCTCCTCCCTTCCCTTCTACCACAACAGACTTAGCAGCTGCATGCTGCTCTTCAAGCTGCAGGGCTGTGTATCGGAAATCGGATCAGTATTGGCTTATATACCTCCTTAAAAATCTGCTATCGGTATCAGCCTTCCAAAATTTCTGTCGGTGTACCCCTAATTCATTCATGTGTTTTGAATGATCCACCTCACTTAATTCAAAACATGAAAATTTCCTTCATTCAGAGCTGTTGACACTCGCTTTCTATTTTTAATTTTAAAAATTTTAATTGAAAAACTCAATACTTGTTCTTTTGTGTGTTTCCTACCCTTAGTTTTAATTGAAAAACTCAATACTTGTTGTTTTGTGTGTTTCCTACCCTTAGTTTTCTGTGCCTGCTGCCCAATTCATTTTATTGTCATTTGATTTTTCAAGGTGTGGCTTGTTTTCTTTTCTTAAACAGGTCTCCTATACATCCTGGTTTCTGGATGCTTTTAACTATGCCATCTTAAAGAAGATAGATGTGTTAAACCTTAGTATCGGTGGACCAGACTTCATGGATCATCCTTTTGTTGATAAGGTTAGTGCAAAAACAGTGGTAAATGTATTTTTAGAATGCTCACCTTAAAGGTCCCAGTTCTGCAGCATTTTTTATGTGAGCAGGTAGGTAGCTTCACCAGGTCTGAGCAGTAAAAGCCAGCACAGTATAGAAAAAAACAGCTGGGGGTGAGGATTCCCAGAGGTAGCAGGCAGGCAAACAGTTATCTCTCAGCCCCTTCCACTTCCTCGAAGTGGCAGCAGTCCTTGTGCAGCTGGCCCAGGTACTACTGCTGCTCCAGCAGGAGGCATTAAATGTGGGCCTTGGGGCAGGGCTCAGCTCAGGCCAGTCGGCAACTGGGGGGCGGGGGTGAGTCCCCCTGTGGCTGATCTCACCAACTGGGGGCTGTGTGCCCCCACTCCCTGGCCAGCACTCGCAGGGGAGGCACCAGTGTTCCCTCCTGCCCCCACTGCCTGTCGCCTAAGCAGGGAGCACTGCCTGTCATGGGGCCTACATGTTGCTACTGAGGGCAGGCAAAAAATGGCCCAAGGATCCAAGTTTGGCCATCAGGCAGTTCCATCTGGCCCGTAGGCCCCCTCCATAAGCCCTGGCCCTGGGCTGCCCCTTTGCAAGCCAGCATGTCCCTGCAGCAGGTGCTGGTTGCTAAGCGACTACCCCCACCCCAGCCTGGCCTGACCCACCCAAGCCCTGAGCCAGGCGGCACCATTGACAAGAAGCCTCTGCCTGACAGAGCTTGTGCCTGGCCATCCCAAGTCTGTTCCCAACCTCTGCCTGTGAGACTGGGAATACAGGTACAGGCCTCACTGGGCTGGGGCCAGGGCTGCTGGGGAAAATGGAGCAGGAGCATGAGAAGCTGTGTGCTATGGGGCAGGCTGGGCAGGCCCTGCATGCTGCAGGAGCTGCGCACTATGGGTCTGGATGGGGGTGACCCTGACGTTGCCATCACGTGTGGCTGGAGACTGAGGTGGGTGTGTGGAAGGTGCACGCTGTGGGGCTGGGTGGAGCTGGCCCCAGATGCTGCCCCCATGTGCAACCAGGGACTCTTGCAGGAGTGTGGGAGCTGCAGCTATGGGGCCAGGTGGAGCTGGCCCCGCTCCCTGCCCCCACATGTGGCTGGGGATTTGGGTGGGAATGTGGGAGTTGCACACTATTGGGCCCGGTGGTACTGGCCCCTGCATGCTGTTGCCATGTGCAGCCAGGGGCCGGAGCTGGGGTGAGGTTGGCCCCGCACACTGCTGCCACCTGTGTCTAGGGACTGGGGTGGGGAGCACAGGGAGCTGTGTGCTGTAGGACTGGCTCCACTCTGGCACAGCTGGGGACTCGGAGGACCCCCTCTCCCCCACACACTCCCACACCCTCCCACCATACTCTCATACTTCCACATACCTCACCCCCCAGCATAACCTAGAACACACACACCCTTCTTACCTCCCATACAATATACAAGAGTAAGACTGTATTTTGAGCTATTATGCAGTTGCCTGTAGACACACAATGCAAATGCGCATAAATCAAAACAAAATATTTTTTAAAATAAAATAAAAATAAGTTACAGTAGATGTTTGATTTTATTTATTTATTTAAATAATATATGATTTGTGTGTGTGGTTTGTTTTTTTTTTTTTTTTTTTACAGTTTCAAGATTGCAATTCTCCCTCTCTTAAAAGGAGTACTTCTGGGGCAAGGGGAGGGGCTTTCAGGGGGAAAAGATCAGGAGTTGGGGTCAGACTTTCGGCTTCAGGATGGGGGTGAGGCATCTGTCAAGGGGTGGGGCTACCCTTGTGGCCCTTGACAGCTGGCAAAAACTCATTAAGCAGCCCTTCAGCTGAAATAATTGCCCACCCCTGAGTTAGAGGTTTCCCTGATGTTTCGTCAAGGGGTTAGCATGAACAGGATCAAAACATAAACCAGATAATAAAATTATATAATTCACAAATTGGTGTCAATAGATAAAGTGCAATATTTAAGCGGTTTTGAGGATCTATCATCTCTCAACCGTTTTTGTCTACAATAAATTTATCTAAAATTTGTTTAAGAGCAATTTTGATTTAAATTGAAATAATAGGCTGGATTATTTGATTGCAAGTCTGTCCCCTAATAAATCTGCATTTAAAAAAAGATCTGTTTTAGCAAATATAGCAAATATAAAAAGTTTAAATATAAAATTTAAAAATATAAAATTTAGCAAATATAGAAGGAGCTCACAAGGCACTAAAAACTGACAGAACTGGTACATAAATTCTGCAGAATGCAACTTCAGTTTCTTTGGTTATTTCAGCCTGTCTTTCAAAAGCACTGAATTAATTTAACTGAATCAAAAGTATACTTTAGAAATGGCTAATGAGGAAGGGTACAGTTCTTTTTTTTTTCTTTTTTTTTTTTTTATGTATTCTGAATTATTAGAATTGAATTTTAGTCTGACAACCAAATTTGAATGCTGTTTAGCAGGACTTAACTCTGACTGAGGGTCTAGGCGGTGAGGTTTTACTGTACGCTTTTTATTGAGGGTTAAAACACCTCGGTGTAGCTTTCCATCTACTAATGGTAAGAGCACATGAGCAGTTGCCATGGAGCAGCTGATGTACAGGAAAATTTTGCTCTCTTATAACTTGCAGTTAGTTTATCTGCCCGTGCCCTCAGGTCTGTGAATATATATTTCATAATATAAAGCTGGTATTTCACAACAGTGCAAACAGAGCTAGTACAGCCAGCAGTGTATTGCTGATATTATAATATTTTATATTTGATATTAAATGCACATCATGTAGCTTTCTTAAGCTCTTGCTCTGCATTAATAAAAAGTTTTTTTTTCTGTAATAGTTAACCTGGAGGCTGACAGGTATTACTAAAACTATCAATAGGGTGTATGTTGCAAGTAACATTAAGATGACGGTTGTAGATGTAAGAAAATTGCTGCCATTATACCAGTGCAATTGATTAGTGTTCTAAAACAGAAAAACAAACCAAAAAAAGCAACCCCAAAAGCTTTTTGACTTCAGTATGTTGTTTTAAGTGTCTGTTTTTTGGCTTTGCAGGTATGGGAGCTGACAGCTAACAATGTGATCATGGTTTCTGCTATTGGCAATGATGGCCCCTTATATGGGTAAGTTTCTTAAAAAGATTATTTTCTCCTCTTGAAAATCATTAGTCAAATGCTAATCCGTCTATCAAGAGTAAACTGAGTTAAGCTGTTTTTTCCACTTTCACTCTGTGCTTCACAAATAAGCTCCTGAATATAGCTGGATAAATTTAATTGATTCGGTTTTCACAGGGTTTGCAAAACGTGAAAAGAAAAGTCTTTCCTTACTTTTGAGTATCAACAGATGTTTGCATTGGCAAATTTCAGCTTTTAAGGAATGCAAAAACATGGGCGTCTAAAATGATTGCTACTTTAAAATTTGGCCCCTTTGACATGATGCTGTAATATGTAATCATTGCCTGTTTTCTGGATATGCTTTGATCATTTTAGGTATTGCTTGAAAAGTTATTGTTTGTGAAATAAGTGACCGTACTATCAAACAGTATCTGTTATCACATCTGTGGAATTTAAACATAACCATGGAGAACTCTGCTAGGTACATGCCTGTTGTATTTATGGACTCTATTTCCTCCTCCTCTTTAGCACTCTCAATAACCCTGCAGACCAGATGGATGTGATTGGAGTAGGTGGAATTGACTTTGAAGATAATATTGCTCGTTTCTCATCTAGGGGTATGACCACTTGGGTAAGTTACTCTGTTTAGCTTAATCAGTTTAGGTTCCAGTAAATGCAGGTTTCTGGGATTTAATGGAATTAACAGAAGTTTATGAAGTTTGGCTGATGGAGGAAAAGAGAAAATTTAAAAGTTTCAAACTTCAGTGGTTCTAATTAAAATGTGTAAACTGACAGAATACCTGTTCTAAACACAAACTGACATCAACTCAATAGTTTTTTTTTATATTTTAGATTATAAAAGTAAGGCCGTAAAAAGGCATTTGTTAATGAAGAAGAGGTTGGGGCCACTAGCTTATTCCTTTTTAACTTTTGAGTGTGAGCTTGCATCAGTTGCTGGCATTATTCTTGAGCCATTTTTGAATTGGAGGCACAAGAACTAAACCTCTCTACATACTATGTAGACAGGAGGAGGTTTCTTGTTCTTTCTCCTTATTCTCATCACACTTGTACATGCCACAGGATTGGTTACAATCCACCCATTATTACATATTTATTTTTAGCTATTAGGTCCTGGGAAAAGATATGCAGGATCCCTACTTTATGTATGTGAAAAAAAGATAAGCACATGAATTTTTTCACAGGCTTGTCTCCTGATTTTTTTTTTTTTCTAATTCATAAAGTTTTCTCACATTTTTTCCTGAATTATTAACAAAACCACATTTAGGCTAGTTTAATCACGTGAGAATTGCTGTATTAATTGAGATTTGTCCATCTACTTCAGTTTGTCAGGGGCATATCTTCATTCACGCCACAGTTTAGATCAGTAAAACTTTTTTCCCTTTAAATTCCTACAGTTATGAATTTATAAACCCACTTTTTCCAAAGCAAATTGCCTTTTTTGGTTTAGCTGGTGTCATTTTGGAGGAAGTTTTAAGTAGAAAAAAGTTTGATTACTATAATTATTATAACTGGCATAATAGGTACAGATTTACTATGTAGATAAACATTGCGTTCTTGGTCTCAGCAGCTCCTGTCCTAATGAGTTATACTAGGGGTTGGCAACCCCAGCATGCATGCCAGAGCATGGCACATGAGGTCATTTTGCTTGGCACACCACAACCGACCCAGGCTTTGGGCAGCTACCACCAGCTGCAGACCCCAGGCTGCTTGCGGCAGGGAAGCTGCATGCCCTGCTGTGAGCAGGCCAGGCTCTATGGCAGGCAGTAGCTGCCCAGAGCCAGGGCTGGATGTAGCAGGCAGTCGCGAGCCTACAAGCAGCTGCACTGCAGTCCGGAGTTCTGGCCCAGCTCATTGCCATGCATGCCTCGGGGAGCACCACAGGGAAGGGGCTGGGGACTGTGCACCCGCAAAGCCTGGCATCCCCACAGGGGGCACATCCCCATGGTGCTAGGTCCATTTGCAAAGGGCAAGGCGAGCTGCTTGAACTCAGCAGACGTGCTCAGGAGAACTCTAACCAGGTGGCTCTGGCTCTACTGCTCTCATCCACATGTCCTCCCCCTGTAGAGGTCATCCACATGGTGGCTGAGGGAGCTGTGTCCCAGGGGGGTCACACACTAGGTTTGACCTATAGCCCTGAGGACAGGATGGGGCAGCCCTCAGCCTGGCCATGGGCCCAAGGGAAGGTGCTTGTGGGCAGGGATCTGCTATCCTGGCCCAGGGAGCTCCTTTTCCTACACCCAAGTGCTGGTGGGCTGAGCCGAGCTGCACTGCCAGTCCAACCCCCACTCCGTGGAGAGCAGCACAGGCCTGCCCAGTGCCTGGGTTACTTGAAGCATGCAGCCGCATGGCTACGAGCGGCTGCAGTGGGCCTGGCTCAGCTCGTTGGCAGCAACTGCATGCATGCCTCAGGGAGCACAGCGGGGAAGGGGCTGGGGCTGCTTTGCCACAGTAAGGGTTGGGCCTCTTGCAACTACCCCACTGCCTGCCCCTGGTATGCCAATATCTTTGAAGTCCAGGTTGCCTGGGTTTTTGGCTCTCAACCCAAAAAAAGTTGCTGATCCTTGAGTTGCACAGTCTAGTAATCATACACTGTACTGTCTTTTTTTTATGAGGTTTAAATTTCCCATCTTTTATTTTCATTAAATATCCCCTTATTTTTGTATTAAAGGAGAAGGGACAGAAAGAAATGCATTTTATATTAATTTGCATTTATTTTCCTTTAACTAATTAACTTCAGATCGTTCTTTTTGATAATGTAATTATTTCTGAATGGCCCAGTAATTAATTTTGCAGACGTCTGAGATACTCAAGCCTAGACAAAAAAAGGATAACTTGTTTATTTTTTAACAGGAACTTCCTGGAGGTTATGGTAGAGTGAAGCCTGACATTGTTACTTATGGCTCAGGAGTAAGAGGTTCTGGTATGAAGGGTGGCTGCCGCTCCCTATCTGGAACAAGTGTTGCCTCTCCTGTAGTGGCAGGTGCTGTCACCTTGCTAGTCAGGTAATTATTGAATGATAAATACAGATTAAGTACAGATCTTAGCGACATTTGATTCACAGCTTGTAACGACCGTGAGAAGCATATTCATTAACCATTATTTTCTGCGTGGCTGCTAACTTTGAAGAATTGTGATATAGTTCTTCAATTTGAAATGTTAACTCGTCTCAAGAAAAATCTAATTCTATGGAGGAGAAGCTTGGGCCTAATAGATATATGGAATTGAATAAATATTCTATTTTGTTGTATTCTATTATCCATTTTTTATTGGCAGAAAGGGGAGAAAGCTCTAAAGGTTTAGCTTTACAACAAAACGGGCTCCAGGTTTCAAACTTCAGGAGACTTCAGACAGGGACTAAGATATCACTTTGTCTCAAAATATTGTTGATTGAATATGCTCAATTCTTAGGGCAATGTTGAGAATGTGAGTCTTCAAACATACAGGAAAATGTTTCATTTTCACCTTCTGCAGTTCTGTTGAAAAATTACTTGTGAAATATTCTCTAATGTAACTATTATGTACAGACTAAATGCCAGTTTTATGTTGTTTCAAAATGAACAGATTAAAGCAGTGGGGGCAAGCTTTTATGGCAGATACACAACAGATTAGCTTCACACCTTCCCCATATGCCACTCACATCCCTTTCCCATGCCTAATTGGCTGCTCTGCTTTCTGCTCCCTGCCCTACCTGTGTCTGTGTTCCCTGTTCCTCCTCAGTCTTCCAAGTGTTTCACACAGAGGCTGCCAATCCCACAGGTGGGCCACCCCTGGATTAGAATATGTTGTTTTGTTTTATCATTTTATACTTGATAAGACCAGAACAGGACTTGCCAAATCTAATATTAATAACTATTTCTCAATTTAGCACAATTCAGAAGCGTGAAATGGTGAATCCAGCTAGCATGAAGCAGGCTCTCATTGCATCAGCGCGTAGGCTTCCTGGCGTAAACATGTTTGAACAAGGACATGGCAAACTGGATCTTCTTAGAGCTTATCAGATTCTCAGTAGCTATAAACCACAGGCCAGGTTGGTTTTCATTATTAGTTAAGTAGTATCCTTTTGTTCTTTCAAAAGAAAGTTCCATGTGTATTGTTCAGCTAAATAGTCTACATTGTGAGAAAAGCTTGCATATAACTTAGAATTTCAAAATTGTAAGTTTATATGCAAGTCTAATCAAGTCTAATGAACTTGCACATAATTTACGATTATTACTGTAAGTCTAATGATCAGAGGTCAGGAAAACAGAACTTACGATGACAGGCTGAGAGCCTTGGGGCTCTTTAGCCTGGAAAAACACAGGCTCAGGGATGACCTGATGGCTACCTATAAGTTTATCAGGGGCAACCACCAGTTTCTGGGGGAACGTTTGTTCACCAGAGCGCCCCAAGGGATGACGAGGTCGAACGGTTATAAACTACGGCAAGACCGTTTCAGGCTGGACATAAGGAAGAATTTCTTTACTGTCTGAGCCCCCAAGGTCTGGACCAGCCTGCTGTTGGAGGTGGTTCAAGCACCTACATTGAACACCTTCAAGAGTAAACTGGATGCTTATCTTGCTGGGATCCTATGACCCCAGCTGACATTCCTGCCCTTTGGGCTGGGGGCTGGACTCGATGATCTTCCGAGGTCCCTTCCAGCCCTAATGTCTATGAAATCTATGAAATGAAAAGTCTTCGGTCAGAAACCACTGTAATAACCCCAAAATTAGAGACCAAGAGTGTGAACTTGTCTCTTCTTTCTTATGAAAACTTCTAATTTTTCCTTCTTTTTCTGGATCAGTTAAAACCTCATGGTTTGTAGTGGAAGATTTGATATAGCATTAAGAATAATCTTTTGAGTAGCACAATAAAATAGATAAATAATTCAGTTTTAGCTAGACATTGCAAGATCATTTTTCTGGGCTAAATTGTTTATTTTTTCTTTCCTTCTAAAATAGAGAGTGAATTTTTTTCACACCCAGCTTTATCATGTTATTCATGTTGGTTTTTAATTTTTTTTTAAATATCTCGATAACAGCAGTAAGAGTGACTAGAATTTGCATGTTTTGCTTCTATTTAATATTCCAGTTGTATGAATACAAAGGTATTTATTTAACTGTATGCGTGTATGTATGCATTTATTTTAGTTTGAGTCCCAGCTATATTGACTTGACGGAGTGCCCCTACATGTGGCCTTATTGCTCCCAACCTATTTACTATGGAGGAATGCCGACCATTGTTAATGTTACCATTCTTAATGGTATGGGAGTCACTGGGAGAATCGTAGACAAGGTAAGACTTATGCATGACTTGGAAAAATAGCATGCCACATTAAAGTACTGTTGCAAAATAGTTCTTTAGTGAAGATCATTTCAGTCATAATTCTAGCAGAATAAATTTTCTGACTAGGAAGGGTGCCTCATTTCGTTTCCTTTATTTTTAAAAGGACGGTATCAACTTAATGAAAGTAGACATAGTAAACTGGTAACATCTGTTCTCTAAAGATTGCACTGGGGTTAATTCTTATTGTTGGTTTAGCTCTGTAAAAACCCTTCTAATTTGAATAATATGATATAGAGTCATCTTTATATTCCTGACAAGCCTTTTAATGCGTTAGGGTACTCAAGCTGATCATGCCTATGTTGTTTTCTTGTGCTGGAGCAGAGCAGTCTCAGTGGAGGGTCATTAATCTGTATATTCTCCATTATGGTTCAAAATCTGAGTATTGACCTTTCTCAGGACCTTCTGCAAAGACTGTCAAGTTACCTACAGTTGTTAGTGTGTGTAAATTGCAGGTAAATGATCTTAGTTTTTGTGGGTCAGAATGTATTTTAATGTTGCCATTACGCAGAATTGTCTTCTAGGAATAGAAACATTTTATAAGATACAGTGCTATTGAGCAATTCCTAGTCTATTCCAAAATTGAAGCTTCCTTCAAAGTTACATTGCCACCTCTCAGTAATACAGCCAAAGCTAACAATCAGACCATCATAACTTGAATAGAGCTGCCTTAGGCATCACCCTTTCTACTGCTGTGTTGTATCTACTATTCTAGTATGCAGGGCCCCAAAATAACCAGTCCATTTTTGCTGAGCACAGTGCAGAAACTGATTAAAGACAGCCTCTGCCCCGCAGTGCTTATAGTCTAATTCTGTGGCCCTCAATCTTTTGGTCCTGTGGGCCAGATTAGGTCCAGCATGCCAGGATCAGGTGTCATGCCACTTCTCTTGGCTTGGGTGGCAGAAGGCCACACAAGTTGGCTCCATATGCTCAATCTAGCACACAGGGCCATGCTATCTAGCCCTTGGGGCTCCCCCTTCAGGCTCAGAAATTTGACAGCAGGGGAATGGCAGCTAACTGCCACCCCTTCTCCACTGCCAAATTCTTGGACTCCTGAGGAGCCCTGCAGGCCTGATAACAGGGCTCTGTGGGCCAGGTGTTGAACACCCATGGTCTAAATAATTGGTGCAGGGAGTACTTGATAGCTGGCTTCTAGATTTCTGATTATGTTCATTTAGCACAATTTAATTTAAAAAATTATTTAGATTTTAAACAGTATATGCAAAGTATAGTGTATTTGCATTGCAAATCTTTTCACCAACATTCCTGAATGTTTACTAACACCTCTTATTTTCACTCTGCAGCCAGACTGGCAGCCCTATTTACCACAAAATGGGGATAATATTGAAGTGGCTTTCTCATATTCCCTGGTGTTATGGCCTTGGTCAGGATATCTAGCAATATCCATCTCTGTGGCAAAGAAAGCAGCATCTTGGGAAGGCATTGCTCAAGGTCATGTTATGATCACAATATCATCCCCTGCAGAAAATGAAGTAAGCTTTCCTTGTGTTATAATTATCTCATGTGATATATCAATGTTTAAGTGTTTACTTTAATTCTGTAAGATAAAATACCATTTGATTTGTGATCAGAGAGGAAGAGATTATTGAAGAATGGACTAACAGATGAGAGCACGATCAAGCCATGAAATGAATGCTCTTAACCAAAAAAAAACAACCTGCCCACATGACCAAATCCCTAGTGAGGTTAAACTAATATAAAATTAAGTACTTTTTATGAAAAAAGGGGTTGCTAATGAATAGAATTTAATTCTCTCCCTTCAAAAGAGCTCTTCAAATTCTTGAAAACTCTTTAAAATGTCAAATGTGTAAAGCAAACAGTACTATATTTTGATTTCTGGGTATGCTTTCACTTAGTATAGAAAAAGTGTTGGAGCACAGTGTTACTTATACTGGTTTAGACCTCTTAGTTGCCATTTTTGGCACTGGCATAGGAAACTAGATCCTCAGTGTAGTGGATAGACTTGCCAAATAAAGGTGGAACATAAGTTCTAATTTTAGACCTTTGGAAGTTTAAATAAAACTATGAACAGTGTATTGGAAAAAATTATTTTGTTTTTGTTTTCTCTTTCAGTCTAAAAATGGTGCAGAACAGACTTCAACTGTGAAGCTTCCAGTAAAAGTAAAGATTATTCCCACCCCTCCTCGTAGTAAGCGAGTCCTTTGGGATCAATATCATAATCTCCGTTATCCACCAGGGTACTTCCCCAGGGATAATTTGAGGATGAAGAATGATCCCTTAGACTGGTGTGTATCTTAGATTTTATTGATAAATACTCAGTATTTCCTGTAGTTTTGTTTCTTACTACTGTATGTTGATAGCATGTTCTATCATGTTCCTCTAGAGAATTTAGTATATTTTCAGCATCATTCTTTGCAATAATTTCATGGAAGACTGCAATCTAGAATATATTCCTGGCCTGTGTCTGTGGTTTATTAGTAAATTACGGCCAGCTTTTTAAAGAAAAAAATGAAGGATGACATTTATTTGGAAATTTAATTTTTCCTCTTTCAAGGTTTTTAGAATTAGATAAAATTAGGGCTCTCAGGGGATCTCAGGAGGTTATATAATCCCTGTCTAAACCCTTCTAGTCAGCAGTTTGTCTAACCTCCTGTGTAAGACGTCCAAGGATGGAAAGTCCACCATCTCTGTGTAACTTGTTTCAGTGTTTAACCACCCTCATGTTGGGAAAGCACTTTCTCATATAAACTTCTTTGCTGCAATTTAAGAGCATTTCTCCTTGTCTTGTCCCTTGTAGCCACAGAGAATGGTCTTATTGCCATCCTCCATATAGCCACCTTTCAGGTATTTGAAGACTGTTATCGAATCTCACCTCAGTCTTTTCTTCAGACTATATTATTCTAGTTCTTTTATCCTTTCTGTGTAAGGCATGTTTTCCAGATCTCTCTACATTTTCATTGCCCTTCATTGGACTCTAATTTTCCCATGTCTTCTTTGAAGTGAGGGCCTCAAAAATAGACACAGTACTCCAAGTGAGGCCTCATCAGTGTCAAATATACAGCAGCACAATCGCTTCTCTTGACTTGCAGGTGAAACTTTTGTTCATACAGCCCAGCATGCTATTGGATTTTTGCAACAAGAGCACAGTATTGGCTTATTCATTTAATGGTCCATAAGAATCCCTTCTCTGCAGTGCTATAGCCTAGCCAGTTGTTCCCCAGTCTAAATTTAGGCATGCAGTTGTTCTGTCCCAAGTGCAGGACTTTTCATTTGTCCTACTAAATTTCATATGCTTTATTTTGGACTGTCTCTCCAGTTTATCACCAACTTACCATCCACAAATTTTTCTAAGCATGTACAGTACTCAATCCCATAGTTCAGATCATTAATGAAGAGATTTCGTAGATTTCATATACATTAGGGTCTGGAAGGGACCTCATGAGATTGAGTCCAGCCCCCCTGCCATAAGCAGGAAGTCAGCTGGGATCAAGTGACCCCAGCAAGATATACATCCATATGTTTTTTAAAAGAGTCCAGAGTAGGTGCTTGCCAGACCGTGGACACTCACATTGTAAAGAACTTTTTTCTTATGTCTAGTCTAAATTGGCCTTCCTCAAGTTTATGGCCATTAGACCTTGTTATCCCTTGGTGAAGCTTTGGTGAACAGGTGTTCTTCCAGGTCTTGATGTACCCCTCTTATGTAATTGTAGGCCGCAACCAGGTCCCCCCTGAGCCTTCTCTTCTCCAAACTGAAAAGTCCCAAGTCCCTCAGCCTCTCCTCGTATGGCCTTCCCTCCAGGCCTTGGATCATACGAGTGGCTCTCCTCTGGACTCTCTCAAGCTTCTCCACATCCCTCTTGAAGTGGGGGCCCCAATACTGGATGCAGTACTCCAGCTGGAGTCTCACCAGGGCTGAGTAAAGCAGGAGGGTGACTTCCCTGGTTTTGCTTTGGTGTGCATCCACCAATGCATCTCGAGTTTAGTTTGCATTGTCAGCCACAGCATAGCATTGGTGGCTCATATTCATCTTGTGGTCAGTCAAGACCCCCAAGTCCTTTTTGGTAATGGTGCTAGCGAGTGTAGCACTACCAAGCCTGTAAGTATGTTGAGGGTTCTTCATACTGAGGTGCAGCACTTTACACTTCTCTACATTGAAGGCCATCATGTTTTGGTTGGCCCACCTTGAGAGCATGTCCAAATCGGCCTGTATCCTCAGCCTGTCCTGCGATGTGACTGCCCTCCCCCATAATTTGGTATCATCTGTGAACTTGGCCAGTTTGCATCGGAGTCCTGAATCCTGATCATTAATGAAGATGTTAAAGAGTACTGGCCAAAGTACTGAGCCGTGAGGGACTCCACTGGTCACCCTGTGCCACGTTGATTTGCTTTTGTCAACTAGTACTCTTTGGGTCTGACCCCGTAGCCAGTTGCCTAGCCATTGGACCATAAGATGATAAAGGCCACAGTTCCCCAGTTTGTTCCCCATGATGTCCTCATGGTTAATGTCAAAGGCTTTCTTGAAATCCAGATATACGACGTCCACATGATCTCCCTTGTCCAGGGCACATGTTACCTGGTCATAGAAGGAGATGAGGTTGGTCAGGCAAGACCTGCCAGTCCCAAAGCCATGTTGGCTGGCATTCAGATGCTTGCCTTTCGTTAAATTGGTGTTGATAAATCCCTTGGCAATTTTTTCCAGGATTTTTCCAGGGATGTACATCAGACTGATTGATTGGTCTATAGTTCCCTGGGTCATCCCTCATCCCTTTCTTGAAGATAGGGACCACGTTCACTCTTTTCCAGTCTTCTGGGTCCTCGCCCGAGTGCCACAAATTTTCAAGTATCTCTGAAATGTATCTATTTGAAATATATCTTGTGGAATGTATTGATGTCTGCCAGCTCCTTCAAGACTCTCGGGTGCATTCTGCCTGCGCCCACGTATTTGTGAATATCCAGTTTCTCAAGGTGTTCCCTCACTTGATCCACATCAATTTGTGGGACTGTCACCTGCTCCCAGAATGGTTTGTGTTTTTTCTGCAAGTGTGATCCTCCTGGGAGGGTGAAAAACAGATGCAAAAAAGTCATTTAGGAGACTGGCCCTTTCTTGGGAGTCAGATGTCAGTTGCCCTGTTGGATCTCACAGGAGCCCAATGCTATTTTTGATCTTTTTTCAACTTCCCACATATCTGACTTTTTGTTGTCCTTGATTCCCATAGCTAGCCTGAGTTCGGTTTGTGCCTTGGCTTTTCTCAGCCACTCTTTACAGGTGCAGGCTAGTACTGAGTAGTCCTCTTTGGGGTTGCTTCCTGTTTTCCAGCTGGTGTAGGCCTCTCTTTTGAGTTTAATGAGGTCCCAACAGTTCCTTGTTCAGCCAAGGGGCTTCCTTGCCCATTGACTGCATTTCTTGCAAGATGGTATGGCTTTCCCCTGTGCTTCTAGGGTTATGGTTTTTGAGCGAGAACCATTCCTCGTGTACTCCCTTTTCTAGGAGGGTATGGCCTCTAATTGCCTGATTGACCAATTCTATTAGTTTGCAAAAGTCAGCCTTCCCAAAGTTAAGGACTTCTGTTTTACTGAGGGGTTTGCCTGCTTTTCGGTGAACTACGAATGTGACCAATTCATAGTCGCTGTCACCAAGCTTCCTCTCGATCCTCACATTGCTTACCAGGTCCTCCCCTTTGGCCAGGACCAGATCAAGTAATGCCTCTCCCCTAGTTGCCCCATCAACCTCCTGCGTTAGGTAGAGATCATCAATGCAAGTGAGAAAGCTACGCGACTTGTCAGATTTGGCTGAGCACTCATCCCAAGAGATGTCAGGGAAGTTCAAGTCCCCCATGACAATCATGCACCAGGAGTACGCGGCTTCAACCAGTTTCCTATTGAATTCCCGATCTAGTTCTTCCCCTTGGTGGGGAGGTCTATAGTAGACTCCTACAAGTATGTCACCCTCCCCATGTTCTTCTCATGTTTTGACCTAGAGGGTTTCAAGATACCCTTCCTGGTTAGAAAACTCAACCTGCAGGCAGGTGAACTGATCCATGACATAAAGCAACACCCCCACCCCTCTTCCCCACACGGTCCCTCCTGTACAAGATGTAACCCTCTAAAGCCACCAGCCAGTCATAGGTGGAGTCCCATCAGGTCTCTGTAATCCCTACAAAGTTATAGCCATTTTCACATAGGAGAAGGGCCAGTTCCTCATGCTTATTTCTCAAGCTCCTGGCATTCGTGTACAGGCAATTAAGTCTGCCATGAGAAGCCCAGTGCTTCCCTGAGGGGTGAAACGGGACCTTTCCTTGGACTGTTGCCAGAGTGGGTTCTCTTGGGCTGCCCAACTTATTGGTAATGCAGCTGACCTAACCTGGGCCAGAACTGTTAATAGACTGCCCATCCCCCAGTGGTCTTAGTTTAAAGCCCTGTCCAGAAGGTCAGCCATTCTGGCTGATAAGAGATTCTTCCCTTTCCAGGTGAGGTGGAGGCCATTTCTTCCCAACAGTCTGCTCTCTCTGAAGTGCAGACTGTGGTTGAGGAAGCTAACCCCTTCATGATGGCACCATTACCAGAGTCTTCTATTCACCTCACCGATGCACCTATCCCCCTGGAGCCTGTGTCCTGTGACTGGGAGGATCAAAGAAAATACTATCTGTGACCTCAGCCTCCAGAGCCCTGTAGTCCTGCATGACCCAGCCGGGACAGCTCTGTGCTGTATCATTGGCATCCACATGGATGAGTAGCATGGGATGGTGGTGGCGTAGCATGGAATATTAAACAAGACTGGACCCAGGACAGACTTCTGAGGAACACCACTAAATATGTCTTCTGATTAGACATTGAGCCATTAATGGCTACTTGTTTGTCATGGTGATCTGACTAGTTACATATCCACTTTACAGTGTTTTCACCTATATTGTATTTCCTTAACTTACTAATGAAAGTTAAGTCATGGAAGACAGTGTCAGGAGCCTTGATAAAGCCAAGGTACATCATCTCCTCCTCTTAATTTACATCCACCTTGTCATAGAAGGAGATCAGGTTGGTCAGACATGCCTTGTGCTTAATAAATTCAAGATGTCTGTTCCTGATCACCTTCTGCTCCAGGTGCTTAGAAGTAGATTTCAGGCGTCAAGGTCAGACTGGTCAGTGTGTAATTCCACAGTTCTTTCTTCGTTTTCTTAAAGATGGGTACTGTATTTGACTTTTTCTAGTCATTGGGACCTCGCTTGATCTTCAGGATATTTTCAAGGATAATAGCCAATGCCTTTTGGTATTACCTCAGCTGGTTCCTTGAGTACTTGAGGATACATCCCATCTCCCTGTTGACTTGAAAATACCCAGATTTTCTAAATAATCCCTAATCTTGTCTACTATTCCAGGGTGTTTTGCTTACACAGGTGAAGGGAGGGGGTAGGAGGAGAGGAGAATCCATGAGAGTCTTTTGTTTTGTTTTTTGTTTTTTATCCTTTATTTTAACATGTGAGTGTGGTACTTCTCATTTGCCTCCCTTTTACTGGTAGGTCAGTACAGGCAATGTTCACTGTCTGTACTGGCACCAGAGCTGACCTGAGCAGGGTGCAGGACCCGTGACAGATCAACCTATGCAGGGCCCCCATCCCCATTCCAGTCCCATGTGCCTTGGACCCAAAGAAGCTGCTGCCACCACCTGCAGCGGCCATGTCAGCAGTGGGGTGGGGGGTAGCAAGTGACTGGGCATGAAGCCGGTGGTGGTGGTGAAGAGTTGCCATGGCCATTCCTCCCAGCTCTGTAGAGCCCCCCAAAAGCTCAGGGCCTGGGGCAGTCTCCCCAATCCGCCCCCTTTAGGGACAGTTCTGACTGGCACTCAATCATTAGCGTGGATCTGACTAATAAAAATGCCTTTCATTGATTCCTCATACCTACAGGAGTCTGTATGAGGGTAAAAGAGAGCTTACCCTGGTGTCTGGTATGAGTAGAGGGGAGAGCTACAGGCAGTATGTGGCAGGAAGTATACAGTGAAACACTAGGGTGCAGGATGGCTGCCTCTGAATAACTGCCTGGTGCATAGGGATATGCTGTCTTTTTCTTAGAAGGGCTCTTTGCAAATGGCCAGGAGCTGTTTCGGGCTGGTTTCAGCAATTGTCTAAAGATAGTGCTGCTTATGTGCTTCATCACTTGAGAGCTGAAGCTGCTCTCACTGGCTTTTCAGTGTGCAGAAAAAACTAAGAGCATGTTTTTAATGTAGTAGCTTTCCTGAAGTAGAACTAAAAAAATTGCAGATGTAGTTTGTGAGTAACTCAATTGTTAGTTTGATTGTATCATTTAATGTAATATGATTAGGGATCTACTCAATTCACAATTTTGCAATTTTCGTGGAAACTGCAAAATCCTGGAATCCAAAAATGATTGCGGATGGAAAACTAGAGATCCTGATTGGAAAATACCACTTGTAGACTAGAAGATATTCTATAGCACAATGATTCAGTTTAAGTTTCTGTGTGGTATTATTGTTTACTTTTATTAGGAATGGTGACCATATCCACACAAACTTCAGGGATATGTACCAGCACCTGAGAAGCATGGGCTATTTTGTTGAGGTTCTTGGTTCTCCATTTACATGTTTTGATGCTAGTCAATATGGTAAGTATCAGAGAACTTCATTGTTTGCATTTAATTAACTTGCTTTAGGAGCTTTAAAGGTATTGAGAACATTGGAAAAAACACAGTAGAATAAAATTTAGTAAGAAGATAATACCATAAATTTGTTTTTAATTATGCAGAGTAAGCTTCACCATAGCATTCTCTGTTCGTGGATTGAGGGTAGGGTAGCTACTTACTGCAGAGCCATAGAATTGTCTAGTACAGGTCAGCTCTGGTAGAGTCTGTCCCCCCACCCCCCAGTTGGCTGTGGTGCACTCTACAGTGTACCTGCCCTCTCCATACAGTATCTTCCTGTGTAAGGGGGGCAAGGGAGCATTCTTCAGGGATTGCAGGGTGGCTTCTTCAGATCAGATTTTGGACGCATTAACTTGAAAGCATGGAACGCTTGTGCTGATGCTGCCTCACTGTTAGGTCTCAAAGTAGAGAGAACACTACTGATTGATCCTTCAGACATTTTGAATTCCTTTGCTCCCTTTACGTAGGGACTTTATTGATGGTGGACAGTGAAGAAGAGTATTTCCCTGAAGAAATCACCAAACTGAGGAGGGATGTTGATAACGGACTCTCACTCATAGTATTCAGTGACTGGTACAATACTTCAGTAATGAGAAAAGTCAAGTTCTATGATGAAAATACGAGGTATGAGTTTCTTTGTGTTCTTGTGAGAATCAAAACACGATTGCTGCCTATAAGGAAGGTACTATAATGAACTGCAGTCGTGTTGGCTTAGTATTTGCAGTATTTTCCATAGTAAGAATAAGGAAGAGAATGCTGGCAATGCAAAATTACCTTTATCTTTAAAACAAAGAGGTTTCTGAGGGGAACTCCTATATGTGCCATCCAAGGTATTAGAATATCAGATAGGGGTGCACCAATAGAGATTTTTTGGGCCATTTAATGATAGCTGATTTTAAAGGAGGCATATCAGCTGATCCAGGGGCACATGCCCTCCTGGGGTGCATAGAGTGGTGGGAGCCAACCCTACTCCCTGCGCCCCCTGGACGAGCAGTGGCTCTATCCTGTGCTCCACCCTGCATGCATCCACTGGGCATTTATTGGCCACATCAGACAAAAAAAGCTGATTTCCAATGCAGTCAATTTTCTTTATATTGGTGCTGATCTGATATCAGACCAATGTATCAATATCGGCACCTCTCATATCAGATAACATAGTCAATTCATATAGTTTGTAATTTATGATTTCTTTCCTATTCTTCCTAAAACTGACAATTATTTTACTACTTTGGACACTCATTGCTTTCTTTCTTCTCTTTATATTTGGGACATTTACAGATTATATCATACATAAAGTTCTTCATCTAAAGACGGCAAGTGTTCCAGATGTAAATAGGATAGAGAAAACAATGAATACATAGAATACAGGTGGTATGACTTGGCTAAATTACCCAGTATTTCAATGTGTTGGATGTTTCCCTATATTTTATAAAGGGGAGAGTGTATTGTTGCTTCTGATTTAAGGAAAAATTAGTAGTTTGAAAATTAAAAAATAACTAAGGATAATCATCTATTAGTTTCAGAGAGTTGCAGAGCAAGGAGATGCATAGTGCCTGAGTTGTCCTGTTGACTGTTGGATAAACAATATTTTATTTATTGAAGGCTGTTACTTTTCATTTTGACAGCAAGCCACCTTTTTAAATGATTTGATCTTATCCTAGCCAAACCTAGCATGCATCTATCAAAGAGTTTATTTATAAGATGTTTTATGTCCTCTTCTAAAGCACACTACGAAGCTGGAACATGTTAAGATTCTAATTCCTTTTCATTAATTAACTTATTTTGGGTTTTTCAAATTGACTTTCAGTGGGATTTGGGAATACAAGTCACTTAATCATGTTTTACATTCTTGCTTCTGTTTTTGTTTTAGTGAATTCTGGATATCATGCAGATACGCCTCATTTGTTATTGAGCAGAGTGTACACTCCCCCACATACTAACAAACTGTGCCATGTTTAAACTTTTTATAGGCAGTGGTGGATGCCTGATACTGGAGGTGCTAATATTCCAGCTCTCAATGATCTTCTTTCTGTCTGGAACATGGCCTTTAGTGATGGACTATACGAAGGTGATTTTACCATGGCAGGCCATGAAAGTAAGTAAAGGAGTACAGTATTTAACACTTTCAGGAATTGTATGTTATTGGTGCCATTCTGGCTTTTGTGGTTTAATAATACAGTTCTAAAATTGCATCGAAATTTTGTGTAAAGAACCTACTGAAAGTTCTTAAATTAATATCCATATAATAAACAATGAGGTAAAGTTTACAGATCAAGTATTGATTTGTGTTTGTATTGTTTATTATCATTTTATTTAAAGACTATTTGGTGTGTTCTTTTTAAAAATTCTATATTTCCAGTTACTTCAAAAACTATCCTTATTTTGACCCCCCAGTCAGATAATCTTTAAATGTTGTTTAATGCATCTTGTCCTCTTAGTCTTCTGAGTTGAGTTCCACCCATAATAGATTGATTGAAATTTATGTTTCAATGTCCGAGTTTGTAATTAAGAGAACTTCTGGTTAAAAGACTGGAACTGACCTTAGAAGCTCTGAGTTTGTTTCATGGCTCTAGTGACTTGTGGCATGTTGCTTCATTTGTTGGTGTCTTGACTTTGAATCTTCTACATGCCATGTGTCCTATTTTAGAACGTAAGTTCTTCTGTTTAGGGAATTTTTTTGTTAGGTGGTGACTGGTGCTACCTTGCAGGGTTACTGTACTGCAAATACTAAACTCCTTGTTACTGTTTTTAATCAATTATATGGGTGTAACAGTGGTTTGTAAAGGATAAATCAATGTAAACCTCTCATTTAGGCTTCTAAAATAGGCAAATATTCTTATGAAATACATGAAGTTAAGTAAGTGAAATCTATGCTTTGGAAGTGCCCTAACTGTGAAATGAAACTCACATCCCCATTTGGTGTGCAGATTATATGGTGATTTTAATCAAAATATGAGAACTCAGGTATGTCATTTTGCTGATATTTATACCTGAAGCACGTAGAGCAAAGTGTCCTTGTTAGCTTGTACGTTATATATTGCACTTACTGTTTTTCAGTGAACTACGCATCTGGTTGTAGTATTGCTAAATTTCCAGAAGATGGCATTGTGATTGCACAGACTTTTAAGGACCAAGGTACGCAGTTGCATATCTTCATAGAAATTTCTAAGTAGATATAAAGATGAACTTGTAAATAAGTGCCAAGGTTGCCGCCAACATGTGGAAAGGAAAATTCTTTGTTGACAGACAAATTGTTTATTTTTTTGCAGTACTCCTTACTTAGAATTTGGTGCATGAACAGTTTGCACAATAGTTATAAATGGGTAAATAACACTTTTTTTTTTAAATGCAGTACAGCTACATGCAACTATATATACAGGTATTTATTGAAGTTTTGCTGTATGCATCTATGTAGATGTGTTTCCATGTAGGTATATAAGAAACTTGCTTTGTTCAGGCTATGATGATTTAATTCAAGCCATTGTTCATTCTTTTCTCTTGCATATTTAGTTAAAATGATAGCTGAAGCTGGACAGTCCTTGCAGTTAATTTTAGGCTTTTGCCTTTTGACTAATGTTTTCTTATATATCTTCTATTTTTTTAAATCTTTTGCTATGTCTTAGTTACAGGGTTTTCTTTCCAAAGCTGTAATCAAGTGGTAAATTTTTCTCATGGCTATGGCTGATTCTTTGGATGAGTATCACACTTCTGTTAGCCAGGAGAGTGTCCTTCAGGGTTCATTTTCTAGCATGTTATTTACTTTCTGTAAATTCTTATGTATGCTTGGATATAACTTTTTTTTGTATATGTAAGCAGTTGCAGATGATATGTGTATTATTATGACTGACGTACTTCCATCCTCTTCAGAAAAGTTTAAGATTTTCTGAGTTCATTTTGTGGGTGATGATTAGGATATAAAAGAGGTGGTTACTTTCCTTTAGCATTCTAATATTATAAAAGCCCAAGTCTGGCTGACGGAAACAGACAATCAGAGTGCTCCAAGCGGGGGGAAGTGCCGCCATGATTCCGAAGCCAGGCCGAGGACTGGACAGAGGGTGGAGGAGCTGAGGTCAGCAGCAAGCAGCACTGGCCTTGGCTCCTCCACCCCGCTCCCTGCAAGAGGCAGAACAGCGGCAGCATGGGACATAAGGTGGCAGCACTCCATCCCATGCCTCCCCGTCCCCCCTCCCC